CTATGAGGTATTTCGTCTAAATCCTGAGATAATGCATCTATACCATAGATCATCTATGAATAGCCACCAACTTCAAACAACGAAAGCCATAGATTCTATGGCCTCCTTTGTTTGAAGTTGATGGCTATTACTATTATCCACGAACTGTTTAAGTCCCTTACCAGGTGGATTCACTTTTAGTTAGCTCGTTTGTGACATTATAAACAAACTACGTTAGCATATTCTCGGCGATGAAGGAAAACATCGTGTGGAAACTTGCATGTCTGAGAAATAGGAAAAAATATACTTAGGTAACATGTGAAGTTCACCAACACGCATTGGGGCAGCGCGGCGAACATTTCTTTAACTCTCGGAAATTAGAGGAGGCCTGTGCCCAGCAGTGGGACGTATATAGGTTGTAACTTTAACTTTTAACTTTACGTTAATTTACAGTCTATAATCTAAAGAGCATGGCTTTTAAAAAATTAAATTATATTTTGACTCAAAAATGAAATACTCCATAATCCGATTCATGTTATTTTATCGACACATCTGCTTCACGAATCAGATTTTTTTTACTCGAATCCGGATGTACTGTGATTATTTCGGTGTATCGTATTCAGATATATTTTGATTAAAAAGTATTCTACCGAATCTAATACGTCTTGAAGAAGTTACTGGATATAGGAGATCTACTGGAAACAGGAGTGTTTATATTGCTCCACCTTTTACGTAAGTTTTTTGAACTCCCCACTCTCAACAAGCGGTATGGTCACGTTTTGTACGTACATGATAGAGCCACGCTTTGTATGTGGTACAAATTCCCAGAGCTGAATCTATCAAATTCGAAAAACGTAAGTTCCGATATTGTTACGTTATTAGTCCCTGGAGTATTAAGAAAATGTGCATTAATTAGGTCATTTATCATTTAAAACGTTTTTTCAAAATTAGTCAAAGAGCCTATTATGTGATTAAACGAAATTACCTTTATTTATATAGATATAAGATAAGAGTGACAAACGAGCACACAATCCACCTGATGGTAAGTGGTTGCTGCGGCCCATAGACATCTACATCTATCCTCGATTACAAATCAAAATGCAGATGCGTCGTCACCCGTGAGGACTAAGATGAAGCCACGCTTTGTACGTGATGGAGCCATGCTACAGCAGTATTATGGCTTCAGCGGGAATTGTTCGACAAGACCGGGGAAAATCTCACACCGAATACCAATGTAAAATTGCAGCATAATACGGGTGTGTTGCATATGATGAGGGAAAAGAATAGAGGACCTATTTTACAAGTAGGTAAGTATCGTGGTCCCTAGGGCTGACAACGCATCTGAAATTTGATTTTCAATAGATGTAGATAAGTATTCGCTAGATAGTAGAGCTAATTTTCTGCCTAGGTACCCACCTGGGTAGACACTACCATCTCCCCTATTTCTGCCTCCAAAGAGCCAGCATAATTACAGGTTGTGAAGCATTCCATCTTAGTCCTCAGAGATGATAACGCATCTGTAGTTTACATTGTTTTAAGTTGGCTACAGCTGTCTATGGACTGCAGTAGCCGCTTACTATCAGGTGGACTGTAAGAAAAGACAAGATTAGGTCTTCTGTTCAGCTCTTATAATATATATATATATATATATATATATATATATATATATATATATATAATTCCTTGCTATTAATATTTATCGTATATTTAATAACTTTATTGCGTTGGTAGCGATACGCTTTGCCAGCAACACAAATTTCAATGGTTCGTTGCGGTGAAAATTTAGGAGCACCTACTTTTTAAACTTGGTACTTAATTAGCACCTAAAAAGCCCCTAATTTGGACTTTTTCTGAAAGCAATTTTAATTCTATTTTGATTTTCAGGAAATCTGAATTTTGCATCTGCTATGTTCTGAATAACGACTTTATTTTTATTAGAGGTGCCTTGTTATTGTTTATACTTACAGCACCTAATTAGCACTTAATTCCTTGCTATTAGTATTTATCGTATATCTAATAACTTCATTGCGTTGCTAGCGAGACGTTTTGCTAGCAACGTAAATTTCAACAGTTCGTTGCGGTGAAAATTTTAAAGCACCTAATTTTTAAACTTGGCACCTAATTAGCACCTAAAAAGCCCCTAATTTTGGATTTATCCAAATGCAAATTCCCGACTTTGCGTTGCTAGCGATACACAACTAAATTATACTGTATCGGAAGAAATCCGATGAAGAACATTGAACTTAATTTTAAAGAACATAGTTGTTACATTATTATGCAATATCATAATATTGTACATTTTATGTACGATGTAACCTTTAAAATGCTAGCCTTACTATCAAATAAACAACAACTCAGCGTGCTAAAGCTTAATTGCAGACAACGTTGACGGTTGACAATGGCCGCCATACTGAAATGAGCGCGCGCATAAACAATAACGTACTTAACTATTGCGTGATATGGAATGCATTAAAACGAATAGCCGAGCTATAAAACTCGCACGTTTTATCTTTAATGCTTCCCTGTCTCCGTCGATGTGCGGATGAAATAAAATAAACCTATAAGCAAATTGCATCACAGTATTATTTACAAAAAGTTATCTCGACTTCCTTATGGGTTTGGTTTTGCTGTTTTGCTGCAATTATTCTACGAAGTTCAATGACTATCCTTTTGAACAAATATTTAAAAGAAACATATTTGATAACTAGTGAGTTACAGACCGGGTCGTGGTGATAAGAATATCCACTACGCCATATCGTCCCGTGATAAGAAGCAACAGCGGGAAACAAATCAGGAGATCGGCAGCAGCGTCTCCTGATTTGTTTCCCGAATACTAAAAAAAACTACTAAAAATAAAAAAACTGAGGATGCTAACCCGCCTGCAAAATATGAAGCAGTCTACGAAGTAGGCCTATGTTCAGCAGTGGACTTTTGATAGGTTGAAAGCCTACTCCCTACCTATGAATGAATGAATATGAGTGAAATTAAAATGAAAAAAAAACTGTTTATTTTTCGGCCAAAGAAATATAATTTCCTTTGTCAAATATCACCTATTTTTAATTAAAAAAGAAACAGTAAAAAAACCTCTGTAGGTATTTTGTCACTTTATTAAAGTCCAATAATACAATGTCGTTATCAAAAATAAAAAATAAATAGACCCATAGGAAGTCAAAGCATGTCCCTTAATAAAATTACGCAACAAAAATATTAAATAAAACTAATAAATGTATTTATTTTTCTTACTTACATTTTTCTTATTTTTATTTCATGTAGTATTCGGGTAAATAACCCCAAAATAATAAAAAACTACGATTGCCAACTCGCCTGCCAAGCGTGGCAACTATGGCAAAACTCCTCCTATGAGTAGCTCTATAGAGGACGCCTAAGCTCAGCAGTGGAAATTTATAGTCCGTAATGGTATTCACGTTAATAAATCATTATGTAACAAAAAATATGCAAAACTAAAGGTAGTAGTAAATGTGGTGCAAAACCATATACCTAACATAACACCAACCTAAGTTCATAATTCATAGTTATTTGCATAATGTAGGTGTTACAAAATTATTATTAAAACATAATGTATGTAAGTTCGTAATAGAATGGAATGTTTTAATAATAATTTTGCCTAAATAATTATGTCTAATTCGCGAGTTGATTTTTTAAATATTTAAATTTTATGAATGTTAGTTTTTTTTATAATATAAAAATATCCAAATAATAATAAATGTCAAAATAAGTATGACGCATGAGACCCACCTCGACCATTAAAATGAAATTGGATGACATTCCCCAAGTCGGACCACGGCAGTTGCTATGCACCTTCCACCTTGCTATAGGTAATTGTTGATTGTGTAGCATACGTGGTATATAATAAAGTCTATGATAGCAGCAGTAGGTAAGAGAATGGTACCAAGCGAGAAAGTTCAACTTAATTACGCATTATGCATACGAATCGAATTTAAACAGGTTCTACTTATGTGTATATACCAGATTAATTTTATGTAAAATGCTGGAAGGCATATTCAGATAACCATAAAATATTTCTTTAAGTACCTACCCATGCATCAATAGAAATCCACTATAGGATGTAAGTTTCCTCAAAATGAAATAAAACTATAAAATCCAAGACAGTCGCTCAATCTTGCTTACACTATATAACATATTTCGAATGTACTATAATAAAGAAAGCTAAGAATCTAAATTAATATTTTCCTAAAATTATAATTGGGGACTGCTCAGGAAATGAAGCACGATCTATATACAGGGTTATTTTGCAATAACCGGCCTTTGCAGAGGAAGATTAAGTTATATAGGCAAATGGTAAAGAAAAATAATAGAAACAAATCTGAAACATTCTGTACTTTTTATCTTTTAAATTCACAATGCCTGGTAATGCATTATTTTAACTGATTTTACTGCGCACGCATCCATAAATCACATTTAATTTGGGTTAATTTCAAATAAAAGTAGAAGCCTTGTTAACTCGTATTTTAAAAAACTGCAATAACGGTTTATCATTATTTATATATATATTATAGAGCCGTGGTAGCTCAGATGATTAGCGCTCGCTGTAAATTTCACAGTACGCGAGCAACCCGGGTTCAATCCCCGCCGGCACCAATGAAATTGTTAATTGCGATTTTAAGTTCTGATTTACCACGTGCTCGGCGATGGAAAACATCATAAGTATGCAGGTTGCATCTCTGAGAAATACGAAAAAAAAATTCGAAAACATGTAAAGTTCGCCGACACGCATTGGCGCAGCGCGGCGGCCATTTCCTTGCCCTAAAACCCTCTCTAAAATAAGGGGAGGCCTGTGCCCAGCTGTGGGTCGTCCTAGGCTGTAACTTTAACTAACTATTATTTATATATTTTTGAACTTAAGTTTAAAATAGGGCTACTCTTTGAAAAATAACCCTGTATATAAGAAGTATTCTAAAAAAAATCTCACTAGGGGTTAAGAGCTAATTTTCTCTTGGTAAAGATTCTCGAAATCTCAAAATATATTTATTACTTTACAGGAACTCTTCGTGCCAATAAACACCAAGGGAGAGCTATACGAGGTTTGCCCTGAAGAGCTATCTCCCGCTGAATGGGAAGGCGAAGGTGGCGCGCCTCCACCTCCTGAAGTGGCTACACGTGCCCATCGTCTGCCACATCTGCTAAGTCTTTGGCGACTGCCGACTAGGGTGCGGCTGCTAGCCGGCACTGTGCCCATTGAAATGGCGCATGATGTTGGAGGTATGTAATCATATAAAAATGGCCTTATGAAAAAAATATTTATTATTGTAATAATTTACACTGCCGTGTGTTGCCGGGATCAGAAAGTCACCCCATTTTGCCCCGTGGATGTCAAATAAAGCGACTATGAGACATTTTTCAACGTGGTAGAGCCACACTGTACCTATATTATGATTGCAGCACGGATAGATCGACTCGACCAATGAAAGACCATGCTCTCACAGAATACCTGCATTAAATAGCAGCTTAATGCTGCTGTTTCGTACCGTGAGAGTTGAGAACCGGAGACCTTTTACTGGAAATGAGACGTTCCATTTTAGCCCTCAGAGGTGACAAAGCATTTTGCATTTTGTTTCTTAATCGGGGAGAAATGTAAATTTCTATGCGACACAGCATTCATTTACCATCAGATTAATGGTGGGCTTTCTCTCACACTTATTCTATAAAAAAAACCAATAATGATCTTTGGCTTCCATTAGATGACAATGTAACTATCAACCATAACCATCGCGTTACGCAGGGAATGAATGAAAATGGTCATTCCGTCACTCGTCCGTTGCCACAAGACTTTTCTTACATTAATACGTCAACCACGATTCCACGGGTCACAATGGGGTTCGGAGTACCTTATGCCACAACTATATACTGAACAGTGTAAATGGATACTTTGCATTAAACATTTTATTATTTAATATATATTACATATAACTACTATAATCACCATTGATTTTAATTATACAAAAATTTTTATTGCAGAAGATCTTCTGCTGCGAGCTGCTATAACGGAACCAGTTTTGGTGATGTGTTCGCTTCCTGAGTATGGTTCTATGCCATCAAGTCCCAGCAAACAAGTCGATCCTCGGCACCATACGAAAGAAGCTTTACAATTGATACCATTAAACAGCAATGTTAAAGTTCGCCGTACGCAGCTCGGTTTCGAAAGCGAGAAACGAATGTTCCTCTCCGCTCGCCTCCAGAAAGCTCTAACTTTCTGTCAACTAAACGTTGACAACTGGATCAGGCAGATCTCTTATGCCAACTCAACTGTCGTCTATAAAGCGAAGACGGCCGAGGACCTAATTAAAGAAGATCACGAACCTGTTAAGTTTGAAAAAGAACGAAAATTCACTCTCCAAGGTTTGAAGATAGACCCATCACGTTTATTCGGCAAAAGTGAGAAAGTTCTTAAAGATATACCTGATGAAACTGAAGGTTCTATAATATTTTTAAGCAAAAACGAACTCGAACACATGAATTACGACGTATATAGCGATGACGAGGGTAAAGATGAAAAGATTGATGAAAAAGGTGATCAAGAACAATTCTCCAGTGACAAAATGCAAGTTTTCCGCGAAGACTCTGGTCAAAAAAAGACCAAATGGTTTAAAAATTTAAAACTGCTAAAAAGCACAGAGAAACTAGATGATAAAATAACTGTTATTGAAAGTAATGATAAATACAGGGACGTGAAGGACCCATTTGATCCTTTAGGTGAAAAGCACAGTTCTATTGAAAGATACCAAGACATGGCTAAATTAATAGAAGATCGATTTGGTGCATCCAGAAAGAGTGACGGTACTGCCGAAAAGAGTCATTCTTACAAAAGTCTCACGACGTCTTCGTCAGAAATGGGTACTAGCCAGTGCAGTTCCAGCCACAAAAAACCTGTTTTAACCAAATCCGTTTCAGTGCAGACCGGTATGCCTGATAGCCCTTATACAGAAAAAGATAGCGGTATTAATATGAAACATGATCGAAAAAACCTTAGCGTAGATCAAATAAATTACTGCGGTTCAATGGAAAGTAACTCTAGTTCCGGACGTAAACTTAAGTCTTTAGATGAAAACATGCTCAAAAAGTCATCAGCCACTAAGTCTTCAACAAACCTTGAAAGACGACAAAGAATACAGCCTGATTTAATTCCAGAGAAAGCCATTGTAAAATCTGAGTCATACAATCAGATACAAAGCTGTGAAGATATTAATATGTTTGTAGCAGGTTCTCTATATAACGACAGTGACTTTGAAATTAATTATAAGCAGCATTCTTTCATAACAGAAAAATTGTGTTCAGAGTTTCATGTCAAAACCAAAAGAGTTCTCAGTAAGTCTACCTCTAATTTGCTTCATCCTAAAAAGCCAAATGAAAAGAAAGAAGGAAGTAATAGCAACAGCATGCCAACAAAAACTGAACGTTCGAATGATAGCGAAAAACTTGTCAATTTTAGGAAAAAGATAGATAAACCAAGAGCACCTACACCAAAGTCAGAAAATGAAGATGAAATTACACCTTTAGATATATCAGAAGAACCTCAAAGACAAGTTAAAATAAGACGATCTATATCATCAATACAAAAGAGAAAACTGCCTGTAATAGAAGATTTACCGTATGGTCAAGTTGCAGATGCTGTAAATGATGAAGAAGAAAAAATTGAATCCGATTCAAGTTCTGACAATATTTACGCAGAAATTTGTACACCCAATGCGAATAAACTGAAAGAAGAAGAAAACTATGATAACAGTATTGATATTTTAGCTACAGATCCTGTCATTTGCAACGTTAAAAAAGAAGTAATTATACGCAATGATGAAAGGGCAAGGCAGATGATAGAAAATCAAGAAAATCCTTTTAGACACATCGAAGTAGTTGTTATAGAAAAGACTACAGATTTTGAGTTGGATAATTCAAGTGTTGCATCCAGTGAATCCGACGATGTGGCAAGTAAGAATGATGTTTCCATAGCTATTGATTCCTGGGAACGTGATAAAGCACCTTGCCATTCAGATCCAAAAAATCACGCCATAAGATTAGAAATTACGAGCAATATGGAAGATTATCCAATAGAAAACGAGAAAAACTGCCTAGAAGTGAATGAGGTCCGTCTAATAAAAGATAATTCGTTAAGTTTTAGCAACAGTATCCATTTGAATGGTACATATCCCAACGAGGCCATTTATGATACTTTAAAATAAATTAGCTGTAATTTAATTATGTTTAGTCACAAATCAATATGAAAAGTCATAAAACTCACAATCCTTTATGTCACCTAACATATTTGCTTTTTACTATAAGTTATTTTTCACGTCATTTTATGTTCCTCGTAAATTTTGATTCGATTAAACAATAATCCACAAAATATTACGATGAATATAGCTTATTTTTTTGGATTTACGGTGACAATACTACTATGTAAAATTATTGTATGTAACACAAAGTGTACCATCACAATCACTATGTTTATAAATGCACCACTTTATGTTGGCAAGTCATTAAGTTTCAGCTTACAATGTACCTCAGGTAATCACTTAAATATAACATTCAGTATACATATTAAAATAATAAAAATGGTTACCATCGATATGCGTACAATAACTGTCATACAACAACCTAATATTGTAATTTGAACACTTAATCACTGTTGTGATACCACATTATTTACATAATGTAATCTTTTAAATTCATTTTATGTCATTCAAATACTTTTAACGTTCATTCCAATCAATTAAATTACACATCTTTGCACTGTAATAGAGAAACAAAAAAATATTTTTAATTTGTTTATAAAGATGAAAAAATTGTAAGTACGTTAATTTCTGAGTAATAGGCGCATTATGTGGGCTGAGGGTTTAATATAATTAAAAAAATGCCTTGTTCTTACAGCCTATTAAAGCTATTTATTCTTAACCGACTTCAAAAGGAGGAGGATCTCAATTCGAGTGTATGTTTTTCTTGTATGTATGTTACACGATATCTTCACAGATTGTGAACCAATTTTGATGATTCTTTTTTTTAATTAAATAGGTTATACTTTAAGGGTGGTCCCATATAAATTTGGAGAAAAAATTCCACCGCTAGGTGTAGCAAATAAATAACTTCTTTTTTAGCAATTTGAAGTCGGTTTTTACTTTTTGTTAAAAGATATAATTATCATATATCATGCCGTAACTTCAACGTTCATATCAGCAACATTGATCAGAATAAAGCAGGAATATTAATATCTACTGTGATCACCAAACCTTCCAACGATCCTGGCCATTATAATAAGATGAGAGACCGCCGTTCAAAATGGATCGCTATTGGTGACGATGAAAAGCAAACTATTATTCAGAAATGTTAGTACAATTAATAATTGGTGCTATATTGAGGTGCTAATATAATTAGTTATTGTACCTGTTACACCCGCGTAAAGTAATAAAGTAAATATACATTTACGATATACATAATTATGTATTTATTAGTTTTTAAAGTTTAAGTGTAACGGCTTGTTCCTATGTCAGATGTGGAACTCATCAAGAAACTAGTGCTCTAGTGATAGAACATTTTCCATGAAGCTATTTACATTTTGTAAATTATTTTCGGATGATTTTCTGGCATCGCATGCTGCCCAAAAATCCTCGCTGTATGATTTTGATTCGTGATATAAATCATTCTCGGTCTGACATCTACTCCTCTTCACCGGCTCTCGTCGTAGGTACAGAAAATTTTGGTTTGCCACATGATTTAATAATGTCTAGGTTAAAGTAAGTCTGTCTAGGTAAAGGTCTAAAAATTTCTTAAAGGAATGTTTCTTTTAAGCCCAGATGAAAATTATCTACATAATTAGGCTTAAATACAACTAGTGTGAACAGAGGCTTTCGTAATCCGATTATAAATTGGATCCTATATCTGACATATTATGGTATCGGGCCGTAACTGATATTTTTTATCTTGTTAAATACCCACAGTGTATGAAACATAACTGTTTGCGTAACCTGTTGTCATAAATATACATTTTACGCTGGTTTTATTTTTAAATGTAAAATACCGGTACCATGATTATTAATATCTTTGTTATGCTATTTAAAAGTTGGCGCAAGTTTTAAACGCTGAACAATTTTGGTAGGATTAGTTTGGATTTATTTATTTTTTATCAAATTACACGATTGTGTACTCAAACTTGTATGGTGTTTGCACCAAACACCGATTACTGAGTTTCAACTAATGAACGAACGAGATAGTTGCTTCCGCACTCCACCATACAATTTACATGTTGACGCATTTCAATTTCAAACCCGCGCATATAAAATAAACCTGTGAGGCATTGACAGAGTACATTATATATACAAGAAAGAGGCATTCTATCTCAAGTCCTCAGAGGCGACAACGTATCTGTAGCGTTCTTTGGCTGAAATTGGCTGCAGTGTCCATAGACTAATTTACTATCAAGTGGTCTGCAAGTTCGTTTGTCACTAATTTTGTTAAGAAAAAAACCGTGTCGTTTGCTATATTTACATACGCATTTTATTTTATACACGTATTGTGATTACTATATTATGATAAAAATAAACTTGGTGTAATAGGTAATTTATATTTTAAGCAACACATATCACATGGCAATAATGTAAATTTGTACTATATATAGATGTAATTTTGTATTATATATAAAAACAATTGAATAAAATATGAATAAGTCTGAAGTTCTCAGTAACTGATGATATAGAGATAAGTTGTGAGAATGCAAAATAAACGATACAATGAAGTGTTTTTTTTTTTGTATTTCCTAGTCTAAGTATCTAGAAGAAAGAAAGACAAAGAGTACAGCGTGCCCCGAAACTCAACGTCAAGCGGGTCGGGGCGAGAAGCCCCAAGCCCCGGGAAAATAAAAATCCATATCAGTTAGTTCAGTTATAACTGACAAATTTATGAAAATGAGGAAAATCCACTGCCTTAAATAATATCATTAGGTATTGTGACCACAAATTTCTCAATTTTACAGTGATTTTTTCACCAACGTGATCTTAAATAAACGTGCTATTACCAATTTTTAAAATAAACATTTGCTCTCTAAATCCATACTTTTTTACGTTTTAATTCGCATATTTTCTCTGAAACTTCTTAATTAAAACAATCTCTCTTGTCTACACCTAATCTTTTAATACTGGCTATCGAACTAAATGTAATAAATTCGGTAAGTATTGAACACATTGAGTTATATTTATATGTACTACGTACTAGAGAAACTATTCCAAACAAAAATTGTGCGCTACTCTATGTTTTCGCGCATGCGCGGGAGATAGTAGATTCGCGTATGCGCGAAGACTTAAATTTATACTAATATAATAACGTGGAAGAGTTTTTTTATATTTTTGTTTGTTTAAACGCGCTAATCTCTGGAACTACCAGTCCGATTTGAAAAATTCTTTTTGTATGTTAGAGCCAGATTCATGTGGAATAGTATAGGCTATCTAGCACTAAGCTATATCACTCAGCTAGCCTTAAATATGAATATTTGTTAAGCAAGTCAGAAGAAAAAGCACTCCCGAAATGGTTTATCCACGTACGCTGTACGTGTTATCGTTAGGGATACGTAAATACAATGTTCTAGAAAAATATAGATCTTTACTCCGTCTAAAAAAAAAGTCCGCGATACCATATGTCTATTTCTTATACATAAGTAGGTTTGTGACAAAAAAATATTGAAAATTTAAAAGTGATTTATGAGCCTTATTATTAGGCATGGCCTATTTATCCTTACGAACGAAAGTTACTTCATCATCAAGATAATTTTATGAAGATAAACTTTGTTCTTTATACCATGTTATTTGGACGCATAGTTTAAGAGATAATGTAAAATTAAAATAATTCAATACTTGGCTGTGCGCGCGAACGACACATAAACCCTAGCCGCCCGGTGAGAACTGCGAGAACTGCTCAACCGGGAGGGGGAGGGAAAGTGGATAAAACTTAACTTCGCTCTACATCATACATAATATGCCGACAGATAAAAGTACTCCATTAATTATGCCAATTGTTCCATCCATTGCTATCAAATAAAATATTTAATTGCAATTATAAAATGCTTGAACTAGGTCATGTCGCGCACCTCCGACACGTGATGACGCGGGTGAAACCGCGGGGCACAGCTAGTTTAATATAAAATAGGATTTTAATATAAAATAAACATAAGAATTTATTATAAAATACTCTTTTTGATCTAAACAAACATATTTCTAAATAAAATGTAATAATAATTATCTTATGGAATTCACAAATCTTCAATTTACGCAATATTTAAGTGTACGGATTGCAGTACAGTTTAGTTGAACATAGTCAATGTTCGGAATGCGAAATCTAGTGCGTAGTACATATATATATCGATGATTGAACATAACTGCGAAGAGCTTTTTGAAATAAAAATTGTGAGAAAATTATGTTCTTTGAAAATCAAGGCCTCCACTTCTTTGTTGCACCATGGTCTCGGAAAGTTATTCGGCCCTGGTAATTTATTTTCCAAATGTAATTCTCACTACACGTGGAGAATTCATAATTAATAATAATTTAAAATAAAAAATTTTGTACAACCGACTTCAATATAAATTATTAAGAATAAGTCAAAAAGTATTGGTCAGACCTTGATAAAATTTATATGGGACCACATGAGAAGCACCAGCTTTCAAATAAAAAAAGAATCATCGAAATCGGTTCACCTAGAAAAAAGTTATTAGTGTTACCTACACATAAAAAAACATACAGTCGAATTAAGTACCGTCTCCTATTTCAAGTGGGTAGAAAAGTGTTTAAAATGTAATGAAGAATACTTCGAATAGCAGTAATTAGTAATTAGTTTTTTTTTAAGATAAAAGGTGACGAACGAGAACACAGTCCACCTGGTGGTAAGTGGATGCTGTGGCCCATAGAGATCTACATTTATCGTCGATTTGAAATCAAAATGCAGATGGGTTGTCACACCTGAGAACTAACATGGGATGCCTCGTTTCCAGTAAAAAAGGGTCTACTATTCTCTAGACTCAGCATAAGAAACAACACAGCAGAATGTAGCTGCTATTTTACGCTGGTATTCTGTGAGAGCGTGGTCCTACTCCTGTCGAGCCGAACCATTCATGCTACAACCACAATATAAAATATTATTTACAATACTTTAAAAAAAAACTAAAATTATCATACAATCCTAGCCTTCAATCAACAATTGGTA